CCAGGACCGGCCTGAGAGGGGCAGAGCTTCCAGGAGCCCAGCCCCATCTGTCTCCATGGGAGACCTGAGGGGAGAAGGCCCAGGTCCAGGAAATATATCTGCAACCCTTGCTGTGGGACCTCCAGTCACTGACCAGCTCCCCTAGAGCCTGTTTTCTGGTCTGTAAAATGGGACCGATATCTTCTGTGCCCCCACGCAGGGATGAGAGGAGGGTCAAAGTAAGTGAACAGGACTCTGTTTTGTAAATGATAAAGTACAATACCAACACTGGGGGAGGGGGGCATAATGGGAGAGGGGGGCACCATGGGGGAGGGGGGCACCATGGGGGAGGGGGCGTCATGGGGGAGGGGATCCCGTGTGTTGATAACCTGTTTTCACATTACCTATTTTTACAGAAAAGAAAAAAATATATAATATTTGGATTTGAATTGACATCATACATGTCAGAGTACAACTGCGCCATACGGTTCTGAAAGTTGATCAGCAGGGCATTCTGACAAGTTGCCTCTGGATGGATTTGAACTGCCAACTTTTCAGTCAGCAGCTGAGCACACTACCAAGGAGCTAGAAATGTGTGTGCCTGGTTTGTTACGGATTAAATGAGTGTGTGTTGTAAAACCATGACCCTGTGGTTATAATCCAGTTTGGGAGTGGAGTTTCTTCGGCATGTGACTGAGACAGTATTGGTGTCAGGTATGTCTTAAATCAATCTCTTCTCAGACATCAAAGAGCATATGAAGCAGATTAACAAGCAGAGAGGAGGGAAGACAGATGCCACACCACATGAAATCTCTAATAAGCAAGAAACAGAAACAAAAGAGACAAGGACCGTCCAGAGGGAGACAGTCTTCCCCTCGAGACGGCACCCTGAAATCAGAGGACTAGCCTCCCAAACAGAGAGAGAATAAATGTCGGTTTGAGAAAACCACCCCCTTGTGGTATTGCAGTGGTTAAAACAGCACAGAACCGACCTGACGGCAGCAGGCTTGGGTTTGGTAGTTAGAGAACTGAGAGCCTGGTGTTCCTCTTTGTCTGAGCTTGGGCCTCCCCTCCACACAGAGAGTCAGTGGGGCCACAGTCTAGAGCAGCCGGGAGGAGACAGGAGCCAGCTGAAGATTTGAATCCTGGCTTTGCCACTTCCAGCCTGTTGGACATTGAACAAGGCTCTCCCCCTCTCTGAGTCTTAGTGTCCTCCCTTGAGAAGTGGAGGTGACAACAGTCCCTTCCCTGGAGCCTGACTCAGGGACACAGGCCAGGTGAGGCCTGGCTGAAAACCAAACTCAACGGAGTGGGTGTAAGTCCCTTCCCTTAACATGAACACCTTTCATTGCTCAACACTTGCCTGGGGCAGAAGGAACAGGAAGTACATGTCTTGAGCGCAGACTTGCCTTGACCTTGTCCATGAGCATGGGACATGTGCCTAGCTGAAACCATGACCAAGAACTGCAGGGTCTCACTCATGGCTGAACCTCTGGAGCTAGAGTCAGACCTACCTCTGGACTCTGGGGGAAGAGGGCCAGGTATGCCCTGAAGATGTTCATGGTGGACATCTGCAAGTTGTAGTTGAAGGTGTTCACTTCGTGCATGCTAGCCGAGGTGCTCTGGGGACAGATGTCCAAACTCCCGGAGAAGGGGCACACAGTGATGGTGGAGTTCTTGTCACTGAAGGGTATGTGGTTGCTCAGACCACCATCAAAGTAGCGCTGTAATGTGGACAGTGGGATGGGGTGGTCGGGCTGTCCTCTGGAGTTATCTGTCTTCTCCCCCCCCACCTTCTCAAGACACCAGCAGAGAATGGGGCGCAGTTGGTCACCCTCTGGCAACCCCAAAATAAATGGTTCCATCTGGCCAAGGATGCTGAGCCCCATAGGAATGGGGGAAGGCAGGTTGAATGCCCAGGGTATGAGCCCAGTAATCCAACCCCGGAAGTGTACTTACCTCGCCTCTGAATTCGGGGGGAATCATGCCGCAGTAGAAAGGGATGTACACGCTGCAGATCACGGCCTGGGAAGACAAGCATCAGGAGGAATACAATCATTCCTACTCCCTTTCACTCAGAAATGACTTGGAAAGTGGTATCTCCTCAAACCAGCCTTCAAAACTGGCATTATTCTTTCTGTGTACACATGATGGAATTAGCAGTTTCAGGACCTTGCCACCTTCCCCAAGGTAAAGAGAGCAGGAAGCTAGGCTGTCTTGACAGCTGTCCTCTTTCTGTAGATGGGATCACTTCCCAACAGAAGTTTTAACAAGTCCTGCAGTACAAGACTGAGAGTAAGGTCTCACTACCTCAGCATGACTGAGGACTCGGGCTGGACAGGTGTTCGTGGTGGGGGCCATCCATGCATTGGAGGGGGCTTAGCAACATCTTTGGCTTCTGGATGCACATCACACATGGTTCCCCAGTTGGGACAACCCAAACTGTCTCTAGAAAGACTACATGGCCCATGGGAGCAAAGTTCTCCCATGAATATCTCTTAGGGTCTACAGAGTTTAAGCGAAAAACAACTTGCCTCTTGGACTCATCATGCCCCACACCCAGGGAGATACAGAACCTTCCAGGCTCCCATTGCTCGGGGGTGGGGAAGAACCTTCTCCAATGGAATGATCATTTAGAGCAGCTCATTTTCAATAAGCACTTACTAGATGCCAGCACACGGAGCTCAGATAGCATAGTGGATATGAATCAGGCTGCTAACCTCAAGGTGAGCAGTTTGTAACTACCAGCCGTTCAGCAGGAGAAAGATTAAAGTTTTCGCTCCTGGAAAGATTCACAGCCTCTGAATCCCTATGCAGGGCTGCTGTGAGTCAGAACCGACTCCACGGCACACCACCACCACTACCACTATGTGCCATCAGACAAGGATGCTGGGATACATGTTGGGGTTCCTGGGGTATCATATACACATGCACAGAAAAAGGGTCAGGGCTCCACCCCCTCAGAGCCACAGCAGGGCAAATCCACATTCCATCAGCACAAAGCAGGCCGCATACAGGGCACTGACAGAAACAAGATGACCCGACCACTGTGTGGGGACCCCAGTCTTCATGAAAGATGAAGACTCAGTGGGAAAGGTGAACAGAGCTGCAATACCAAGGTGTCCAAGCTCCCTCACTCTCAGTAGAATCCTGCCAAAGAGACCTGACCCCACCTGTCAACACACTGTGGGGGCCCCCTGCCTGGCCCTCCTGGTCACTCCTGCTGCTCACACTGGACAAGTAGGGGGCAGGACACCCTTCCAGAGCACATGGCTCCTATCATTTCTCTTCTCAGATGTGTGTCCACTATCTGCACAGCCCCCAAACACACGCATTACATTACAAGCCCCCAAAGGCAAGTGGCTAGGCCGTTCTGTTCCTTGCTGTGTTCTCAGTGCCCTACAGGCCATTCAATAAAGGTTTGCTTCAGGGTGGGGACTGCAAGGCATTTCACTGGAAGCAGCTCCCTGTAGGGGGCTCTGTAAGAAGCAGGGGCCTCCCTAAAGCAAGCTGGGGTCCTTGCACTCACTGAGTAACTTTGATAAGCTGCCCCCCCATGCCTCAATTTTCCTATTAGGAGGTAAACAGGAGCCTCAAGCTGCTCCTCCCCTCAACACCTTTCTGTGGGTTTCTCTGCCCCTGAGATGTAGTGTCTCCAGTAAAGTCCCAGGTCAGCACCTGCACTACCTGAATCAGCTCATCGCGGGTGGCGAAGTTGGTAACTATGACGTTCTTGCCATCTGGCCATCGGGTCATGGAGATACCCAGCCGCTTGGAGGCCAGGATGTGGGCATTGTCAGGCAGAGTCTCCTGCAGCTCCTGTTTAATGTGCTGGACGGGGGTGAAAGCCGGGTGGAAGACTCCCAGACTCAGCCTGTTGATCACCTTGGTCATTCCCAGGAGATTTGAGCAGCAGTAGTCTGTGGGAGGGGCAGGAAGGCTCCTTAGTCACCCAGGGGAACTGCCCACTCATCCCCCACAGACTGGTGCCACGAGAGTCCAAAGCCATCAAGTCAATTCCAACTCACTGTGAATCTGTATAGTATTTCCGGGGCTATAAATCTTTATGGAAGCAGAAAGCCTCCTTTCTCTTGTAGAACAACTAATAAGTTTGAACTGTGGACCTTGTGGCTAGCAGACCAGTGCTTACCTCACAGCATCACCAGGGATCCCCCTCAACTTTCCAGCTCACAATTTCTGTGCCCAGCATTAGGATCAACTCCTGCCATCCACTTTTCCTCTAAGTGACCTTGGAAACTGGCCTCCCTGGGCTGAGCTTTGAACTCCTCTTCTGGGAAAGGGGTGGCCTTAGACCAGATTCCGTGGTTCTTTTCAGGATTAAATGGGAAGATTCTGGGACAAAGGGTCAGGCGGGACCCCTGAAAACCCCTCTCTCGCTTCCTCCAGCCCCCTCCCATGAAGAAATCCTCCATTAAGTTTTGCACAAGGATCCTAAGTGCCTCATGGTCTCCAGCCACCTCTGCACAGACTCACCAACTGATTTATTACAGATTATGGACATGGCGTTGAGGGCGCCCGCTGAGGAGCCATAGAAGCGGTGGGCGCCCTGGAGGAGGCGCGGGGCGCGCTCCCGCAGACATTGGGTCACGCCTACGTGGTACAGACCCAAGAAGCCTGAGCTGGAGAAGGACAAGCTCCAGCTGCCCTCCCTCTGGAAGTCCATGGCAGGGTCTGAGCCGTGGAGAGCCACGGGTCAAGGACGGGACCGGGATGAGACCAAGCTGAGGCACCAGACAGGTAAGGGTCATGCGTCAGGTGTGGGGCTAATGTGGGTTGCCAGATGGGGATGGGGCCAGGACAGAATCAGGGATGGGAACTTGCAGAGGCTCTCAGAGCAATTCTGCTGTCCCGCCCCCTGAGTTGCGTCACCCGCAGCCCCAGCCAGTGACGTCCCTGAGCCGCAGCTCCCCTCCCTCAGCTGTGTCCCAGGTGCGCCCTCAAGGCACCTCTTTATCTGGGCACCTCTTGGCTTATCCACCCAGGTCCAGACCACGTGGTCGCCATTTCCGGGTGGTTTCCTCAGGTCATCTTTACAGAAGCATTATCCCTCCCCTGTGGTACAGTTGGCGAAACCGGCTCACTCCGGAAGCACAGCACTGGAGCATAGCTCCTGGCCTGGGATCACCCCACACTTCATTCTGCAATTGTGCTGGGCGGGGCCCCCACCATCTGGGTGGTGTTCCCAAACTCCTGGAGCTTTGTGGGCTGCGAGGTTTCAACATCACTTGAGAGGCTGGTGTGTGGGCCTTCAGAGTCCCTTCCTTGCAGGTGGCACACCCCAAACACCTAATCCCCACCACCAGCCTAGCTGGGCCTCTGGTGACCTAGACCACAGAGTCCTGCCCCAGCTGAGTGCTGTCTTGTCAGGTCTCCCCACCAAGTTGTGTGCCAGGGGGTGGTGTGCTCACCTCCAGACACCCACCTTAGACCCTGGATAGGTTAAGATGCTGGCACAACCAGAAAATGCCCACCACCCTATAAATGGGCAAGGTTCTGGAGTCCAAGTGTCCCTGAGATATTCTTCCACGTGTGCACAGGGTAAGGCAGAGCGGGGGTGTGCTCCAGCTTTGTATGTGTGAGGGGAGGGAGCATAGACAACCCTCAGCCCTGGTTGGGGAACAGATGAGTGGACCCCTCCGGCAAACAGCTTTAGAATGATGCTTATTTAAGGATGCCATTTACACCAACATTTAAATCATTCCCAAAGCCTGTGTGTGTGTGTGTGTGTGTGTGTGTGTGTGTGCTCACGCGTGCGTGCTTCCTAACGCCTGTGAGAGCCAGAACTCCACAGGACAGCCTAGCTTTTCTGGGTCACACAGATTTTTTGCTGTTGATAGGGTAGTCTTACCACTTTCTATAGCTCTCTATTTATGTAAAATGTGTGTGTTTTTCGTCTCTGACAGGTCTGCATCGTAGATAGGTTCTGGGTGCTGCAGGTTTCTTGTATATATCGGGTTTCAAAACGTTGTTGTCGTTGTTGTTGTTGTCAGGTGCCATCGAGTCGGAACCGACTCATAGCGACCCCATGCACAGCAGAACAAAACAATGTCTGATCCTGGGCCAACCTCACCACTGCCATCAATGATGCCACCTGGCTGATCCATCTTGTTGGGGCTCTTTCTCTTTTTCTCCGACCCTCCATCTTACCCAGCATGACATCCTTCTCCAGTGACTGTTCCCTTCTGACAATATGTCCAAAGTATGAGAGACGAAGCTTAGCCATGCTGGCCTCCAAGGAGCACTCTGGCTGCACTTCTTCCAAATGTTGTAGGAAACGTTGTAGGAAAATGGAATTAAAATATAATGAAATTATCCTTGAACTTTCTAAAGCCCCCCTCCCCCACACATATACATATATGTTCATTCGTTGTTATTATTTTGGGCTGTCATTGAGTTGCTTCCAACTTATATCACCCCCCGGTAACACAGTAGAACTGCCCCCGTATGGTTTCCTAAGCTGTCATTTTATGGGAGCAGATCTACAGGCCTTTTGCCCCACAAAGCAACTGGTGAGTTCGAACCTCTGACGTTTTGGTTAGCAGCTGAGCCACTGTGCTCCCAGAGCTCCTTACCAAGTGACCAGCACCTTGCAGCCCTGAGGGTCCACACTGCAGCTGCCCACTGTGGAATTTCAGAACTGAGGGCTGAAGGTATCAAGGCTTTCATATGGGTGTTTTTGCAAAATGCCATTGAGAGCCCCTGTACAAGGTTTCCAAGAAGCAGCTGGTGGGTTTGAACTGCTGACCTTGAGGTTAACAGTCTAGTGCTTAGCCTGCAGAGCCACACCAGGACTGCATATGTGTGTATGTTTGTCTATATGTTTTTTAAATTAAAATCCTCACAACATAAAATGTACAAGTCAGTGGTGGTGGTTAGGTAGTATATTCATTCACCATGTTTGGTGACAAACAGACTCTCTATTTTAAAAACAGTGTAGGTTGTTGGGGACCACGATCACTGAGATGTTGAGGCCCTGTGTCATGGATGAAAATCCTACACGATGGCCCCACTCAGGATGGCTAGCCAGGGACCCTGAGGGCCCAAGGAAGTAACCTCCAGAAGTCCCAAGTTCATTGGCTTTTATGAACTCACTGTTGGGCTAGCTCTGTATAATTTTCTTTGGTCCTATTATTTATTCTATGCTTCGAACTCCAATAATTGTAGCTTCTGAGAAAATGGTTTCTTATGTGCCTCTCTTAATGTCTCCACTGTGTTGGCAGTGCGTAAGGTTCTGGGAACAAATCTCTCTGAGGAACAAACTCTGGCCACCTGGCAAGCATGGCAAAACTGTTCTTTATCAAGTTATTCAGTTATGTTTGATATTAACTTATACATGGGCCTTTGATATCCATAGACAAATATTAAAACAAAAGCCCCTCCTAAAGCCGAGGCTGTAAAAAGTTCCAAAGGCAAGTTTGCTGGGAGACTCTGGAGACAGTCTGCCCAAGGAATTCACTCAAAGCAGATTGGTGAATTCTGGGGTATTGTTCAAGGAACAATAGTGATAGCCTTTTCAAATCGTCCCCAGGTGCAAACCATTAACCTAGGCTTCCTCCTTCCTCCTGCAAGCCTAGGCCAGGTAGCTGAAACAGCTGGACTCCTTCCAGACCTTTTGAATCCTTTTCACCTTTACCCATTCGAGATTAAGAGCTATAGGTATGTTAATTAGCCCGGAGAAACCTCGAGCTGCTGCCTTGGGATTCGAACCTAAAAAGTAATTTATAACAATTTGCTTGAATTTCTAGAAATTTAAGGATGTTAGATTATCAAGACAATTTGTGATGTATGTTTTAGAATTTGTTCCTATAGATCATTGTGTCCTGTTTCGAACGATTAATCACATTTCACTTCTGTACCCTGTCTTAATAATCCCCTTCTACCTTTGTGTAAAGCCCCTCCCTGAAATAAAAAGGGGGCGCAGACTGAAGCCCGCATGCATCACTGCCTGCAGGGCTGGCTGTGCATTACTGCCTGTAGGGGCCACGATGCCTGTAGTCCAGGGTCTGCCCGCCAGTTTTGCATCCACTTTAGTTTCAGGGTGTCTCTTTGTCTCTCTCGTTGAGTCTTTGTGTGTACTCTTTTTCTGTCTCTGTCGCCACCAGATCTCCCTACTTCGTGAACCGAACTCCCCTGTCGAGGCCAGTCCTCGACAGTAGGTAACTGCCAGGAAGGTATAGCGGCCCTGATGGCTCAGCAATTAAAATGCTCAACAACTAAACCAAAAGACTGCTGGTTCAAATCTACAGGAAAACGATGAGGCAGGTGTCTTCCTTAAAGATCACTGTCTTGGAACCCCTATCGGGCAGTTCTAATCAGTCCTATACAATCACTGTGAGTCAACCTCAGGACACAACAAAAACTGAAGTTGGACAGCTCACCTTTGTATCCCTTCCTACCTGGTATTAGGTTACCTCATTTAATTCTCACAACATCCTTGTGAGGTACATAGTCTTATTAGCCCCATTTTGCAGATGATGAGACTGACATTTTAACTAGGAACCCAAGTGTTCTCTGTATATTCCAGGCTGGAAGACCAGGGTCCTTGAAGGCCAGGACATGGAGAAGGGGGCTTCTCAGATGAGGGATACAGACAGAACTCTGCTCCTCAGAAAGGCCTCTGGAAGGCTGAGTGTGGGGGTTGGAGGCAGGGACCCACAGGCCGGTCTGGCTGTCCCCTGGCACAGGCAGGTGGCGATTTCATCCTGGGGCAGTTGGTATTAGCACACTTGGGGGATCTCCAGGTACAGGTGTCTAGGAGGCCACAACTCTGGTTTCCTGGTCAATTTCACATGGGTGATCAAAGCCAAGGCCCCGAGGACACAGGCCAGGGTTCAAATTCTGATACTACCCCCTGCAAGTCTCAGTTTCCCTCTCTGTGAAGGGGGAAATGTGAGACCTGCTTTGTACAGTTGTTCTGGGGGTTACATAAGATCACTATGTAAAGCTCTAGCCAGGGCTGGGCACTGTGGCTGCTGGGGGCTGTCACCTAGGGGTTGAGGACATGGGGACAGGTGCTGGGTCACTATGGGTTGAAACTGACTCGCTGGCACTTATGAACAACAATTATAGTGTTGGTAAAGAATACGAAATATACAGGTACCATGGACTGCCAGAAGAATGAATAAACCTGCTTTGGAGCAGTATATCCAGAATGCTCCTTAGAGGCCAGGATAGCAAGATTTTGTCTCATGGACTTCGGAAATGTTATCAAAAGGGAATAGTCCCTAGAGAAGGACATTATGCCTGGTAGAGAGACAGTGAAAATGCAGAAGATCCTCAATGACTGACCCAATGGCTGCAGACATGGGTTAAAGCACAATGATTGTGAAGATGGTGCCGGACCAGATAGGGTTTCATTCTCTTGTACTAAGATTGCTATGAGTCAGAACTGACCCAAAGGTACCCTAACAATACAGCATAGCAAACCACCTATCCAGCTCATGTAGCAATGAAACTGCCAATCTACCTCCCCCAAGTTCCCTTCTACTGCCTCCTGAACACCTCACCTATCTCTCCTATCTGGTGCCCAGAAGGTCTGGTCCCATCACCTCTCACCCATCAGCTGTAGCTGCCTCCAATCTGCCTTCCTATCCCATCCCTCCCCCACTCACTGCAAGAGGTTCCCTTCCCTTACCCACAAACTCTCCCCAGGGCCTCCAGGCT